ATCATCATCATCATCATTATCATTATCATCATCATCACTTCTTTTTCACAATAAAAAAAGAACGCAAAATTGCGATATAATAATAATAATAATTATTATTATTATTGTGTAAATAAGACGTTTTTTTTTTCTTTCTCTTTGTCTCTCGTGACTGACACAATAAATAAATAAATAAATTATTTTTATTATTTTATAATAATAATAATAATAATAATAAACAATTAATCATAAAATTAAATTATTAAAAAATTATGTAATCGTACGAAACGAAAAAAAAATTACTATTACTATTATTATTAATACTATTATTATTATTACTATTATTATTATTATTATTATTATTATTATTACACCAATGTTAATTAAATAATTATTTTATTTGCAATGATAATCATAATAATCAATAAATAAATTATTGGAAAAAAAAAAAAAACTTGTTTTCCATCAATATTCATAAGTTTTATATTAAAAATGGTAAAACGACAATAATAATAATAATAATAAAGCAAGTTCATGCAAAGTTGCATACGATCGATAAATCAACAACACTGACATAACTGTGCCAGACAACAAACCGGATATTGTGGTAGGTACCGGAAAAGGTGATGTAACCTAATCGAAGTATCCGTACCGGTGAAGAAAATACCAGAAGGTCAAAGAAAAGGACAAAAGGTTGAAGTGGCGAGGATGTGGGGAGGTGTAAAAACAGGAACTATCGTCGTGGAAGCATCACCGGAAGCCATGATGCCACATTCAATAAAAGGAAATTTAAGCGAAGAAACCGGGGTACAGGAAATGACCCACGTTACGTGATATGACCCACATTTTCCGGAAAATCCCAAATTCGAGGATATATTCCTTAGGGATCGGGACCTTAAAAATTCTCACAAGTACATACATAAAATCTTGTCGTGTCCAAATGTGAAAATAATAATAATAATAATAATAATAATAATAATTAATAAATATCGGATACGCTTTTTTTTAACATATAAATGACCTTATTAGATTTATTTATTATAATTATTATCCAAAGTCATTTGGTAGGTAGGTAGGTAGGTAGGTAGGTGAACGACGACGACATCAACAACCACAACAACAACAACAACAACAACAAACGACAACAAACAATGATTACAAAATGAAAAAAAGTAGTTTAAGCCATTGTAAATTTTCCTTTTATTTTTGGGTCAATACATAAGTCAGCAATTTTTTTAATTAATAAATTTTAGGCAAATTTTGCGTTCAAAGTGCAATTTATTTATTAATAATTTTTACCACGATGATGATGATGATGATAATGATAAATAAATTTATTAATTTATTAAAATAATTAATAAATTTATTAACGTCTTAAATAAATTTCCTTTCAAGAGGAGGAAATTTAACGTAAAAAAAAAAAAAAACGTATGCATAAATGATGCGTGATTTTTGTTTGCATAATAAAATTTCAAAATAATAATAATAATAATGATGATGATAATAATAATAATTAATCATATCGTAAACACGCGGAAATTTTTAATGTCGATGCAATTTTTTTAAATTCGTTTTATGCACGTGGTTTACATCGGAAATTTTTTTTAACGAAATGTTTTTTTTTTTTTTTTTTTTTTTTTCAGATGTCACCCAACGGTTACATTGATACGACGAAAACATGTTCGGAAAAACCGGATGTGGAAGAAAATAAGGAAATAAGAAATAACGACGGAAATGAATTCAAACCCGTCCTTATATGGGTTAATATTATAAGCATAACCATTTTACACGCTCTCGCCATTTTTTCATTTTTCAAATGGAGTTTTGCAACAAAATTATACACTTACCTATGGGGTGAGTATCCATTATTATTTCCGTCCTCGAATGCAAAAATAATAATATTATTTTTATACATCTAGGATTCCTCGTTGGATTTTTGGGGGGCTTCGGAGTCACGGCAGGAGCTCACAGATTATGGACACACAAATCGTACAAAGCCAAATGGCCATTGAGATTAATATTGGTCATTTGTTATTCCATTGCCGGCCAGGTAAGTGATTCCTTTCACCACATACATAACTGTAATGCAAATTGCATATTATTAAAAATTTAAGGCGCGAATTTTTTAAATTCAAAATGGCGGATATTGTAGAAAAAAAAAAAAGGAAATGTCAATAAATAACCTATTTATTACAATGGCGTTAAAAAATAATTTTTTTACAGTTACAAAAACAATTATAACTCTGTCGCTAAGGAGTTGTAATGATGATAATAATAATAATAATACCAATGATAACCGGATTTCATTTTTTTTTTAAATCGAAATTTCTATGAAAAAATAAATTTATGAAATAAGTAAAACAAGTTTTAATTAACATAATAAATAAATAAATAATTTTTTTTTGTACAATTGTAAAAAAAAAAAATGTATTATTTTTCAAGGTCAAGGGTAGGTATTAGGTAATTACTAGTACCTGACATATTTAAAAATAATGTCAAGTTCAAGGATTTTTCTTTTTTTTTTTTTCTTAATTTCAGAATACTTTATACGATTGGGTAAGAGATCATAGAGTTCATCATAAATACAGCGAAACTGATGCTGATCCACATAATTCAAATCGTGGATTTTTTTTTGCACACGTTGGATGGTTGATGCAAAAAAAACATCCGGATGTATTGAAAAAAGGAAAATTGGTAGACATGTCGGATTTGTTAGAAGATCCGATAGTTTCATTTCATCAAAGGTAACAAAAAAAAAAAATGTTTCTATGAATGATTACAAACAAAGCCAAACATAACGTTTGTTGTTGTTTTGTTCCTTTCAGGAATTTTACATTATTCAAAATAATTTTTTGCTTTTTAATACCCATAGCGGTACCTTGTTATTTTTGGAACGAATCATTTATAATAAGTTTAATGGGAATAGGTTGCGTACGATATGTTTTGGGACTTAATTTCACGTGGCTTGTTAATTCAGCAGCTCATATATGGGGTAACAGACCATATGACAAGTGAGAAACAAAACAAAACATTTACCATAGCAAACTATAATGGTGGTACTATTGAAAACGTTAAAAAAAAAAAAAAAAATTTTTTGTTTAAGGAGAATCAGTCCGACGGAAAATTTAGCCGTGGCAATAGCCTCATTCGGTGAAGGATGGCACAATTACCACCACGTTTTCCCTTGGGATTATAAAGCAGCCGAACTTGGAAATTATAAAGTTAATATAACGACATTCGGATTGGACATGTTTAAAAAAATCGGTTGGGCTTACGATACAAAAGAACCATCGAAAGAACTCATTGCGAGAGTCAGTATTAAATATGGCGACGGAAGTCATAAAAATTGTCCTTCCCCCCACGAAATTGATGAAAATGGCGAACCCGTTAATTGTTTTGAAAAAAATCACCACGAATGAAAACGTACATACATTATTATTATTATTATTATTATTTCGTACGAAAAAAAAAAGAAAAACCAGAATAATAAAATTTAAGTCGTAAAAATAAGTCATCATCATCATCATCATCATCATCATCATCATCATCATCATCATCATCATCGTATCTATCTATCTTTGTCTTTCTAAACCCGACAATTTTACATAAAACATGATCGCATTTATTTATTTATTTATTTTTTTTAGCAAATTCATTCATTAAAAATAAATTACGATTTTATTTTCTTTTTTTTTCTCTTTTCTAATGCCCCGTTAGATTTAATAATAATAATAATAAAACACGTACGAATAATTTTTAATAATAAAAAAAAATCTAACGGATTAATTTTTTTAAAAAAAATTTTACAAAACAAAAATTTTAATTCATTATTATTATTATTATTTCAATCGTCAAATAAATAATAATAATAATAGTAATAGAGTCGGTGTAATTTTTTTTTTTCTATTTACACGACAAATATTTAAAAAATAAATAATTATTAAATTACCGTTAAAAGTTTTTTTTTTTTTTTTACGTTGATTGTAAACGACAATAAACGAGTAATAAATAGTTTATTATTAATTAATAATTTATTAAAATAATAATAATAATAATAATACGATTCGATAAATCGTTAATTTAAT